GGGGGGGGGGGGGGGGGTAAGAGGATGCCAGGGCCTTAGGGGTCACCTGGTCACACTCCCTGATTTTGGAGGAGAGGTGGCTTTCCTGGGCTTGCACAGCGTCAGTGACAGAACCAGAGCTGGGGCCACGTCTCCTGGCTCCTGCAGCACACACAGTGTACACTCATGTGCGTGTGGTCGGGGAAGGGGTGACCACATGGCTCTGTGGGCCTCTGGAGGATGGGCTACAACAGTCACAGGACATTTCTGTGTGTGTGTTTTTTTTAAATACCTTTATTGATTTTAGAGAGGAAGGGAGAGACAGAAACATCAATGAAGAGCCCTAGCCAGCAGTGGATAGAGCATCGGCCTGCAGACTGAAGGGTCCCAGGTTCGATTCCGGCCAAGGGCACATGCCTGGGTTGCAGATACAGGCTCCATCACCACTAGGGGGCATGCAGGAGGCAGCCAATCAATGATCCTCTCTCATCATTGATGTTTCTATCTCTCTCTCCCTCTCCCTTCCTCTCTGAAATAAATTAAAAAATTAAAAAAAGAAACATCAATGAAGAGAATCATTGACTGGCTGCCTCCTGCACGCCCCCTACTGGGGATGGAGCCTGCACCCTAGGCATATGCTCTTGCCTAGAATTGAACCCAGGGCCCTTGAGTTCACAGGCTGATGCTCTATCCACTGAGCCAAACCGTGTAGGGCCATAGGAAATTTCTTAGAGAAGGTGCATTTGAGCTGGGTCTTAGAGGATGAATAAGAGTTGATGGAGGATGGGAGGGGGCTTTTGGGGAGGGCCTTGAACACTCATGAGGGTTAAGGAACAGATGGGCTGGGGGCAGTTCCCTGAGTCAGCAGGACCTTTCAAAGTCCCTCCCAGGCCGGTTTAACCTTGGGCCAACCCCAAACCCTCCCTGGGCCTGTGTCTTCCTCCACAACAAGAGGAAATCACACCACTTTGTAGGTGCTATTCACGATCATAGTATTACTTATAATGGATGTTTATTGGGTGGTTATCAAATGCCAGGTGCTGGGCCAAGTGAACCCTTGACATATATTATGTAATCCTCGCAGCAAACCCACGCCCGATTTGAGCAAGGTCTCTGAGTAAATGCTTTACGGCATGTCATGGCCATTCAGCACAATCCCAGGCACATACTAACTAACCCCTCAGTAAGTTGTGTGACAATGACAACAAATCATGACAGAGTTTGGTTGACGACTGCGGCGCTGTTTTCTTGCCTCATCCCCTCCAGCGCGTCTGCTGAGCCCCTTCTTGGAAGCAACTTTCTTGGGAACTTCCTCCTCCAGGAAGCCTTCCTAGACCAGCATGGCACTTACGGCCTTTCTACCCTGCATCTCTATGCTATTTGTATGGTTCTCGGGGATCCAGAATGTTGGCTGTGTCCCTGTCCCTCGGTCTGAGTGGTCCCACAAGTTCCTCAGGGCAAGGAATGGAGGCAGAGTGGGCACATGCAAGGGGAGGGGGGGGCAATGTTAGCACAGCAGGCCCCTCCCCTGAAACCCCCAGAAGTGTCTGCACAGGAAGTCTACCCAGGGTCCTGTGGGGACTCCAGATCCTCCAGACTCACAGAAGGGTGGCTGGCCCCAGCCACATGTCCAGGGCAGCAGCACAAATAGGACACCTGTCTCGGAGCTTTTCTTTCCATTTTTATTTTAAAGGAAAAAAAAAAAAACAGTGCAAAAACCCATTTTCCAGTGTCAGCCATGCCCATCCCCCACCCCAGGTCACCCCCTGGTTCAGGCCTGACTCTTCCTCCCACTCGGCACCCCCTCCCCTCTCATGCAACCCTCAGGGCTGAGGCTCCACCTCCCTGGAGTGCCAGATCCCAGGGGGCCGTGGGGGGGGAGGGGAGGACAGAACTGGGGCTGCCCGGATCTGCCTGCGTGTCCCCCAACTCCTTGTCTCCAGCCACCAGGTACCCACCTTGGCTCTCATTAACCCTTTTCTGACCACACGACTAGGCTGGGGCGGGGGGCACTGATCTGGGGGAACTGTGTCCACACCCCTCTGCCCCGGGGCCGGCTCGGGGCTCTCCTCACTGAGGTTGGGGCTCTCTCTCCCCTCTGTGGTGGGGGAGAGCAGCAACCCCCCAGGTTTAAATACCTTAATGAAAGCAGGGATGGGGGAGGAAGGGGCTTCAGATCTAATAAATTATTAGCGTT